TCGCGGCGCTGTGACGTATGCGGCCGACGAATTCGACCTTCGGAGGACCCGTCCTGCCGTTTTGGACACAGCCATTATAGCTGCATCACGTTATAGATTTTAGCATCATGTTACAGATGTTAGCATCACGTTATAGCTGCATCACGTTATAGATGTTAGCATCATGTTACAGATGTTAGCATCATGTTACAGATGTTAGCGTCACGTTATAGATGTTAGTATCACATTATAGGTGTTAACATCACGTAGCATCATGCAACTGTTATTAGTGACATGATTCAAAGTCAGGACCAATTTTATTCTCCTCTGATCCAAAAATCAACTTTTGTTTTTTTATATAAAGTAATTCCTAAATTTATTTATACTCATTGTTCATAAAATTAGATGTATATACTTAATATTTTTACTACTAACCCTCCTCCTGAGTGAATAATTTAATGTTAGACAAATGATCTCTGCTCATTCTTCATGTCAGAGTGACTCAAATTTAATATTTTAAATTGTGTCAAAGATCCATGTGTCCTGATCTCAGCCAGACGTCTCTGCACCGTAAACATTCAAACATTTACCTTCTTTGTTTTTTGATGATCATCTGGACCGTCTGCAGACTGTTGGAGGGAAAATGTCTGTCGGCTCAGATTTAGAGGCGATCAGCAGCAGACTAAAGAGGGACGGACGTCTTTTTTTAATTTCCTGGGTTTGGCCACAGAAAGGTTCAGAGCTGGAGCTCCTTACATTCTTCCTGAATCCTCCTGCTGCCCCTGGCTCCAGATGACCTGAGGTGACCTCTGAGTAAAACCTCCTGTTTTAAATCTGAAGTTTCAGGAGTCTGTTTGACCCAAGGACAGCAGGAGGATTAACTTCTGTCCTCGTCTTTCTACCATCTTTAACCCTTCTCCTTGTTTCCTTCCTCCATCCTGTCCTAGCTCGTTGTTCCCTTCTTTCTTCATCTTTGTTCCCTCCTCTTCCTCCTCTCCTGCTGCGACACCCGGAGGAAGAATAGGATCAGGACTGGAGCAGATATTTTTTTCTTTTTTTTTTCCCAGTGACGTTTTCTCGTTGGCACTGATGCAACCAAACCCCGCCCTCTCCTCCCTGTCAGCCAATCAGTTCGAAGCACAGAGACTCACAGATTGAACAAAAACTTGAAACACATTTGTTTTGTTGTCTGTTAGTGGATTTTGATTTTTATCTTTTCTTCCCCCCCCCCCCCCTTTCACCGCTTCATGTTTCCGTTCAAATTTTGACCTTCTTTGCTCTTAAACTCCGCCCCCTTTCCGTTCTGGGGCAGTCCTGAGCTCTTTGCAGCTCATTCAGCTGATCGACCTTCATCTTTTGCTGCCGTTTTTCTTCGCTGCTTTCTTCTGACGTCATTTCAGTCTTTCTTTTTTCAGTTAATTTTTTGTTTGTTTTTTGTTTTGTTTTTTTTTTTTTTTGCCTTTTTTCCATCCTGTCTGCTTCTCAGGTCTCATCCGGACTAATCAGTGAGGAGAACTCGGACCGCTCCAGTTTTGGACTTCTAAATCCTAATCCACACCTAATCTGAGGTGTGACTCCATCGGCCAGAAAACACAAAAATAATCCAACTGGATTGAAAAGAACAAAACCCAGAGCAGAAGCTCTGGACCTGCATCTCATTAAAACAGGATCTGTGTCCCGCTGGAAAAAGTTAAAATTTAGTTTTCAATCTTATTTAGAAGAAATAAAACAACAAAATATAATTTGTAGTTACTAATAATTTAAAGATACATCATTCAGTCTTAAGTTCGTCATCAGAGGAGCAGGTAAACGGATCGTTTAGACCCTCAGACGTCTTTGAGGATGTTTATTTGCAAAATATCTCATGAACCACAGGATGTCCTCGCCCTATCTGGACCTGGTTCTTTGGGTCATGATCTCATCCCCCCCACAGGTGAGGGTTAGGAGCATAACTCCTCCTTCACCACGACCGACTGGACCAACAGCCTCATTACTGAGGACGAGGCCCAGATCCACCGATCCAGCTCCAGGATCTTTGAAGCTTTGGTGGGCGATCTGAATTCCTACAAGAACTTTAGTGTCATTAAGTTTGTTTCAGATGTTTATAAAGAACAAACAGAAATTAACAGAAATAATTAAATTTTATTAACTGAGAACTAACAGATCTGTTTTTACAGCCAGCTTTCACAATGTTGAGGAAGACTCTGTATGGCAGGCCATTTTAACATAAAATCAGCTTCACCTCACTCACATTCCTAACATCTTAAATCGGTTCATAGACGTATTACATAAAATAGATCTCTAGTTACATTCAATGATTTCAGATTTACCATTCAGTTTAGAGGCTAGTTTTAGATATCAGATATTTAAGATTGGATCAGTGCAAATAAAATTACAGATTTATTGAAAGCAAATAATGACTCCGCAAAACTATCTTATAAATATCTATAAAACTGTAATTATGACAAGTCATAACTCCTCTAAGATATCTCCAGTTGAATTACAGATATCTTGGGTATTTTTTTTTATCTATTTAAGACATCTTGAATATTCTGTCTAGTCAAAACATCAGATTTACAAAGCATTTTAGCTGAAAGTTTCTAAGATATTTTAGTCTTACTGACACTAACTTTACCTTAATTTGCTGTTCAGTGGTCTTCAGTCTTAGGTCAGTCCAAATCGAATTCTTGCTGAAGCTCAGCATGAATTAAAAAAACAATAATTTATTGTCTGTCATTGCAGCCAAACAAAACCCTGCAGGCATCTGTTTGGGCAGCTAAGTGACAGCAGGGGGCGGGGCTTATGCACAGTTTCTTATTTCAGATGTTTAAAAATAAATTTTGACTCATCATAATTACATTTAAAAATCTTGAACTGTAATTACAGATGTGTGACTCTTTAAATGATAAATGCGTTGACGTCATTTGAGATTTTTTTTAATTTACATTTTGATTTGTCAGAATGAATCTGAAGAAATCTTGCAGATATCTTAAATTATCTGGACAGGTCTAAGAGTGCAGATATCTTAAATTACCATTCAGGATATTCAAAATGTAGTTGCTCCTTGTTAAAACTTGTTTTTAGACATCTAGGATGTAAATACAGATCGTCAGACGAAGCTGATTTTATGTTAAAATGGCCTGCCGTAGCTCTCAGCTACTAACACACCAGATTACAGCTCATTATTGTTAAAATGGTTGTAGCCATTTTTATATCAACATCGACTCAAATTAATCAGTCCATCATATAGTTCATGAGATATTTTTCTAACAGTCAAGTAATCGTGTAAAAATGTAAACTAATAATTTAGCTGAAATTGGACTAAAAGCTGAGTTTATTAATAGTTAAAGTAAAAACTGGGACACAGACGACGATTAACGTTTTAATTAAAATTATTCAACTTTAAATAAAAGTTTAGATAAAATGACAAACCTTCAAACGGGCTGAGAGTTGTGAGGAGTTAGTTTTTTCTTAACTTTACATAAAAGTTAATAATTAACATCTTAATGGAATGTATCTGTAGGCTCAGATTAGCTCAGATTAACTAATCCAGAAGTAGAGAAGTTAACCACGTCACTGATAATCTTGTATGTATATTATTCTAAAACCATTTAGTTTTAGTTTTTAAGAGAACATGTAAAAAAAAAGGTCATCTATGTTTTATATAATCAAGCTTTTTTGTATTTTTATACTTGAAAAGGATTCATAAACATGTAACACATTTATTCTATAAATTATTATTTTTCTGTGTTAAAGATTTTATTTTTTCTGCGAACCATGAACCGAACCATGAGTCACACGTTCTGGATTCTAACTGTAAAAAAAACAAACAATAAAAAACTAACATTTAATTAAAAAAAAAACAAGCAGGAGTTCGTAGCTGTTTTAATCTAATATAACCGACTGTGTTCACTCCTCAGATTAAACTGTTTATTCATGGTTTATTGATGAATGTGTGGTAAAAAACCATCTGTGGATGTTTAAATCATGTATATAAACCCAAACAGTATATTACAGAGCTGGTTTTATGTGAAGTTTTTTAATAAACTCTAAAATGGCATGCAAACTGTAAACATTCCTGGAAATCTGCACGCTGACTCAGCATTCAGTGTAACCCTGTGAGCCGTAGAGTAAAAACTGTACAGAAACATTAGAGTTTTGTATCCCGTTCTGTCAGAAGAAAGAAAGAAAAAAATTAATAAAACTTTATCGTCAACCCAGAAATAAATCTAAAATATGTATCATCTAACAGCCGTTCCTTCAGTTTGAAAGTGATGCCTGCCGTGTGGGTAAGTGTTGTCTGTGAAGAGAAACTTCAGCACAAATCTGAACGAAAAGATTCAAAGTTGCTGCTTTTTGTACGTTTGTTGTGTTTTTGTGACAATAAAGGTCTGATCTGTCACAGCTGTCGCTGCAGGACTGAATTATTTACGAATAAAAATTAATAAAACACCACAGAGACACCTGGACAGGTCCGTGGTCCAGCACAGAGACACCTGGACAGGTCCGTGGTCCAGCACAGAGACACCTGGACAGGTCCGTGGTCCAGCACAGAGACACCTGGACTGGTCTAGGGTTCAGCACAGACACCTGGACAGATCCGTGGTCCAGCACAGAGACACCTGGACTGGTCTAGGGTTCAGCACAGACACCTGGACAGATCCGTGGTCCAGCACAGAGACACCTGGACAGATCTGTGGTCCAGCACAGACACACCTGGACAGATCCATGGTCCAGCACAGAGACACCTGGACAGATCCATGGTCCAGCACAGAGACACCTGGACAGATCCATGGTCCAGTACAGAGACTCCTGGACAGATCCATGGTCCAGCACAGAGACACCTGGACAGAGCCGTGGTCCAGCACAGAGACACCTGGACAGATCCGTGGTCCAGCACAGAGACACCTGGACAGATCCGTGGTCCAGC